AATATTTCTCATGATTTCTTTCATAGACATGGAAGAGTAGTCAGAAAAGAAGAAAGGTTACCTTCCTAAAGACAGAAGTCACGGTTGTTTTTAATTTCCTTTAGCACATGTTTGTAGCTCAGAATGATTATATTCCACGTGGGGAGTTGGGACACACAGAACAACTTAATTCCTTTTGCTTTACCCTTCCCCTCCCATCCTTGGAGATGGAAGGTTGGTTTTGTTCGGCGCTTTTTGGAGACAGGATCTCACCATGTAGGTTGGGATGGCCTTGAACTCACTATGTAGCCCAGCCTGGTCTTAAACTCACTGTGATCCTCCTGCCTCAGTCTTCTGAGCGCTGGGGTCCAAGATGTGTGCCACCCTTCCTGGCAAAGATGGAAGGTTTTTATTTATTGTTGATATATTTAAGCAATGAGCAGTCAGGGGCAAAAACTTGTTTTCAAATAAAAGATAGATTAGCTTTGTTTCCCATGGCATAATGACAAATAAACATGCAAAATTTATTTTTATTTATTTTTCTTTTTTTTTTTTTTTGTCAGAACCCAGGATTGAACTCAGGTCCTTGCATTTGCCACGGAAGCACTTATTCCACTGAGCCATCTCCCTGGCTCCAAACATGCAAAATTTAAAAAGTGTTCTTTCCAAAGGGCCTAAAATATTTATACTCTGAGCACAAAGATAAAAGAAAATTAGGAGCAAATTTTGGCAGGAATGAGAATATAACAATCAAATCTATTTATTTTTTATTTTTTTATGTATTTGGTACAGGGGCTTACTACCCAGCTTGGACTTGTAGTGATCCTTCTGTTTTCAGCCTCCCCAGCACAGTGATTACAGGTGTGTGCCACCATGCCTGGTCTCAGTGGCTGGCTCAGTGCACCGGGGATTGAACCCTCGTCCTTGCATTTGCCTAAGCAGGTGCTTAGTCCACTGAGCTATCTCACTGGCCCTTCAAATTTGTAAGTTTCCCTTTTCATGTGTTTGCTTCTCACTGTTCAGTTTATAGACTTTGCTCTGAGTCAGCTGTGCCAGGGTAGGCGTGCTCTATGCACTCGAGTCCTTTGGCTCATCTTGTATTTCATCTTAGCAGGACTGTGAAAGATTAGCTTACACCATTTCCCATGGTGTAAGGGCAAATAAAATCATGGCATTGTACAAATTTCATGATATAATAAAACTTTCACTCCTATTCTTTGCCTTTTCTGTGCACTGAAGAGCAACTGGAGGGACTGGGCTACTTCATTTTTAATCCCATGTGTTACACAAAT